CACCAGATCCGGGAATGTCAAGTTGGGGGTGGGGGCTGACAATGACCATGACCTTCACCTGTCCTCACATGTCCTCTGTGTGTCTGCAAAGCCTCTGCCTCGGTCTCCTCTTCTGGAAAGTGGGATTGGAAACCACATCTGCTTCTCTCCCAGGACTTCTAGGAAGACAAGATTAGATGGCAGGTGAGAGCTCTTTGAGAATGAAAGCATTCTACTATTTGAATGCAAATTATTTTTCTTTGCCTGTCATGTTTCCTAATCTGTGAAATCATACTGGACCTCAAAGCTGTCTATTAAAAAAACTAGCAAAGTGGCTGGGCATGGTGACTCATGCCTGTAATCCTAGCAGTTTGAGAGGCCGAGGTGGGCTGATCACTTGACATCAGGAGTTCGATACCAGCCTGGCCAATATGTGAAACCCCGTCTCTACTACAAATACAAAAATTAGCCAGGTGTGGTGGTGTCCGTCTGTAGTCCCAGCTACTTGGGAGGCTGAGGCACAAGAATCGTTTGAACTCAGGAGGCAGAGGTTGCAGTGAGCCGAGATGGCACCGCTGCACTCCAGCCTAGGTGACAGAGACAGGGTCTGTCTGGGGAAAAAAAAAAAAGGCAAAGTTAACACTTCCTCTATCTCTCCCCTGGGGGAGGCAATTTGTCAAAGATTGTTGTTGCATTTTACACACAGGGAAATCTAGGGAAGGTGTGGAAACCAGACCAGGACTCCAGACTCTGGACTCCCTGTTTACAGGGTCTTAAATGGGGGAGCCACTTTGGGTTCTTTCTACAAGATTGCTTTGTAAAAAAACCAAGAAACAAACAAACAACTCAAAAAAACAAAAAAACCCCCCAGCCCTGACCTAAATATTCACAAGGGACCTTAGGCAGTATCTGTAAACAGAAGTGAGTGGTGAGTGCGATCCATCATCTTTACAACAAAGCTCCAGAGTTGAAGCAAGTGGAAATATCTCTAGAGACAGAGATTTGGGCGGGTTCTGCCAGTCACAAGCTGTGAGAACCTGGGCAGGTTTACCTCTCTGAGCTTCCGTGACCTTGTAAAATAGGATGCATTGCACTAAATGTGCAGGAGGAATCCCAGCCTCCTCCTGTGCACAAGGCTGGTTTCTACCCATCCTTTTCCTTGTTCTGCCTCTCTCCTCCTCTCCGAGAGATGAATACATTTGGACCCAGTAGGGACCTATGTTTGCAAAAGCTCCCAGGTGATTCTCATGCAGCCAACCTGGCTCTGGTGCTGAGTTCTTGGACACTTTTGGAGGCACATTTACTAGTGAGGAAGGTCACTGTGTGTTAAAGGCATGATTCATCTTCCGTTCCTTTCTTCCATGAAGCAAGGTGCATGGGTCGACTGAGCTGGGGGAGTCCGCAGTGTTAGCCTCCCCCATGCTTCCCTCCCTCCCCATTCCTGGTGTGCCGTATTTTGTCTTGATTTCCTGCACTCTGCACCAAGCCAGGAGATGGTAAGATCTCAAAAAAATCATTTTTTTTGGAAATGGGATCAAGAGGGTTTTTGTTTGCTTGCTTGGTTGTTTGAGACAGGGTCTAACTCTTTCGCCCAGGCTGGAGTGCAGTGGTGTGACCTTGGCTCACTGCAGCCTTGACCTTGTGGGCTCAGGTGATCCTCCCACCTCAGCCTCCTGTGTAGTTGGGACTACAGGGACACACCACCATGCCCGACTAATTTTTTCCATTTTTTTGTAAAGATGAGGTTTCACCATGTTGCACAGGCTCATGTCAAACTCCTGGGCTCAAGCCACCTCGGTCTCCCAAAGTGCTGGGATTACGGGCATGAGCTGCTGTGCCTGGCCAGGTTTTTTTTTTTTTTTTTTTAATTTTTTATGAAAAATTTTCAGTATACATTAAAGTAGAGAGAGTAGTTTAATGAGCTATCATACATCCATCACATAGGTTTAAAAACTATTAAGGTTTGCAATATTTACTCCATTTGTTTTTCTGAAGTGTTTTAAAAATAGTTTACAGTGGTTATGTAATTGCATCATGATGTTCACCCCTACATAATTTACTTTCCCTCTAAAAACACGAGGGCATTTTTTACAGGATCATTGTCATACCTAATAAAATTACCAGTAATTTCTTAATATCCTCTAAGATCAAGTTGACATTCAGATGTCTTATCCTCAAAATGTCAATTGTGATAATTTTTTTCTTTGAGCAAAGATAATAAGATCTGAAGATTTAATGACAGAGATTCCATGTTAGCCCTGATGTCTAAGCTCTGTGGTCCATCGTGGCTTTACTTGAAAGTCTCAGGCTAGGCACGGTGGCTCACGCCTGTCATCCCAGCACTTTGGGAGGCCAAGGTGGGCAGATCACGAGGTCAAAAGATCAAGACCATCCTGACCAACATGGTGAAACCCCGTCTCTATTCAAAATACAAAAATTAGCTGGGCGTCGTGGCGCACACCTATAGTCCCATCTACTTTGGAGACTGAGGCAGGAGAATCCCTTGAACCCGGAAGGCGGAAGTTGCAGTGAGCTGAGATCGCACCACTGCACGCCAGCCTGGGTGGCAAGAGCGAGACTCAAAAAAAAAAAAGTCTCTCACTGTGGTCTCATAATAAAAGGGTGCTCCATTTCCCGTCTGGCCGCTGCTCCTTAATGTTAGCCCCCTCCTGTGGGGAGGAGGGGGTGACCTTCTGGGCAGGGTTCAAGCATTCCCAGGGCTGGCTCTGATCCCAATAAAGCCCATTGTCATGAATGAATGCTTTCCTTGCAGGTTAGTCTAAATATTGGAAATAGGAGTGTCCTCATGATGCCTGGGACAGTACTGAATATTTATAGGTTTCTTTTAGTGCCTTTTTTTTTTAGTGTTTTCCATAGTTCCATGTTTCTACAACCCTTAGGAACATCAGAATCATGTGTGTGTGGGTGCTTATTAAATAAACCAATTCCTGGAGCTCACTCCCAGACAGTCTGATGATTAGGGGCTCAGCTAGGACCTATGTTTGCAAAAGTTCCCAGCTGATTCTCTTGCAGCCAGCCTGGCTCTGGTTCTGGCTCTGGCTCTGGGAACTGGGTTGGGAACTCGTCTTTGGTGTTATTCTGCTGAAACTTCAAGTTGGTCTCTTTGACTCCGTCTTGTGTTGTCATCACTTGTATTCAGGTCTGTTTTTCCCCTGGATTGTAAACTCCTTGATGTCTCGGTCATCTCAGCTCGTGAGCTGAGCTTTCAGTGGGTGCTCAGTGGAACAGGTGCTGAATGGAGTCAGGCTCTAGGGAGGCCAGCGTGTGTTGATAAGTGGGAGACAAAAATCATTTAAAAAAGAATCTTTTTGCCCTTCAGTTGTGTTTGCCATGAGTTCATGTGATTTACTCTAGTCGAAGCCAGTGCAGCTTAAGTGGAGGTCTTGCCCTGAAATGGAGCCAGGTTATGGATGAGCAGAGCTGCCAAAAGCATTTTGGAGGAAATGTTTCTGTGTCACCCTCAGTTGATTGAACTCAAGATTTCACTCCCATTTAACACCACGTGGGGGCCATTCTGACTTCTGCGGAGGGGGTGTGATCAGATCCTCTGTAAATGTGGAACTGAGGAGACTGGGCACGGTGGCTCATACCTGTTATCTTAGCACTTGAGAGGCTGAGGTGGGCACATCACTTGAGGCTGGGAGTTTGAGACCAGCCTGGCCAACATGGTGAAACCCTGTCTCTACTAAAAATACAAAAATTAGCTGGGCATGATGGTGCGTGCCTGTAATCCCAGCTGCTCGGGAGGCTGAGGCAGGAGAATCTCTTGAACCTGGGAGGTGGAGGTTGCAGTGAGCTGAGGTTGTGCCACTGTGCTACACTCCAGCCTGGGTGACACAGTGAGACTCCATCTCAAAAAAAGAAAAAAAAAAAGTATATGTGAGGAACCTGGGATTGAACTTGGAGATGTTGGGGATGGAGGTGCTTCATCTACTGAACAAAAACCATGGGATACTAATGTTGGAGGAAGAAGCATCGTCCTGTTTCTACTAACTCAACCATACATGAGATGGGGACTTGGTATCTGAGAGAAGAGCCTCTTTTTAGGTCTTCAGCCTTGTTCAAACCATTTCTGAATTCCTCATAGACATATAATCAGTGCTATGAGTGGTACTGATTGGATAATCTTTCTGTCATTTCCTGTGCTAGGAAGGAAAATACATGTACAGTCAACTTCCTTGAGGGTTCTTTCTTTTGCATCAGGATATCTCAAACTCCTGCCCTTATAACACCTGTAAGAGAATCATCTGGGATGCTTGCTCACTCTGCATACAGACCCTTTAGAATCAGAATCAGAATCCCTGGGGCTGGAACCACAAAATGAAATGACATTTCAACAAGTTTGTCATCACCTAAGAGAAAATAGGTGAGTATTTGGATACCTATGATACAAAGTATCATAGGTACTATGATTAGAAAAGAATGATTTGATTATTTTAAATGATGTGTTTTTAAAAATTTTATACATGAAGGGCTGGGCGCAGTGTCTCACGCCTGTAATCCTAGCAGTTTGGGAGGTCGAGGCGGGTGAATCATTTGAGGTCAGGAGTTAAAGACTAGCCTGGCCAACATGGTGAAACCCCGTCTCTACTAAAAATACAAAAATTAGCCAGGCGGTAGTGGTGTGTGCCTGTAATCCCAGCTACGGGGAAGGCTGAGGCAGGAGAATTGCTTGAGCCTGGGAGGTGGAGGTTTGGTGAGCTGAGATTGTATCACTCCACTCCAGTGTGGCTGATGGTGGTTTAACCATCACCAAGATGTGTTCTGAGTCCAAATATTAATATTAAGGACATTGTTGACATTGTCTCAAAAAAATTAATGAACACAGAAAAGTACAAAAAGGGAGAGAAATCACCCCAAATCTCATGACCCCAAGAAATAAACCTCCTTAATATTAAGTGAACAGCATTCCTTGCTATGCACAAAGGTGGCTAGAGACTTCAACAGACACTTCTAATCACACAAAATGAGGTTTTAAAAACAAGAAGTAGCAAATTGAATGTAAATTTATCTGAAGAAAAAGAAATGGAAGTGAAATGGAAGGAACTGGTCAACTCAGATAAATGTAGTTTTTCCTCACCAAAAATCAGTTTCTAGAACATCTAAGAAATCAAAGGTGATGAAAAATATTAAGGTTTTTATATATATATATATATGTAAAAGTCTTTACAGTTGATTGGGCCTCTCATGAAAAATTTGTACAGTCACTGCAGATAAAGTCATTGTGAAATCTTTACTGCTTTTGCTTTTTGTCAGCACTGACGTTGGCCTTTGTAGTCTCTTGACTTCATTCTGCCCTTGCATTCCTTTTGCTGTTTTCTTGAGGTCGTCTTCTTCTCATGCCAGCCATGTCTTGCAAGTCTATGTTTGAATTCATTTTTCTTTGCATAATCCAAACCAGATAGCATGCCAAAGCCCATTGTTTAACCACCACCAAAATGGGTTCTGAGTCCAAATATTCATATGAAGATAACGGCCATTGTGGTCCTGTACATTTTGTTGCCTTCCCGGGATGAAGGACATTGGTGACCATTTGTTTCCTCTGGAGTGGTTGGTTGGTCATTAACTTCCTGGTCCAGATAGTTACTGTGTCATTCATCATGGTAGTTGATCCTTGGGTAGTTAGGGAGGAAAATAAACAAGAGGTTATGTATTTAAAACCACATGTTTCAATTTTAGAGCTGATTGACTTAGTAAAGGGCATTAGCACATCTACTTCCTACAATCCCTCCCATTACCTCTGGAAACTAGTTATTTCTAGCTTGTTTTATGTTGTTAAGGTTGACCACCTTTTCTTTCTGTTCTGTAATCATAGTCCTATTTTTAAATGGATTCACCTCTCATCAGTAGCCTTTTGTCATGGTCATTCAATTCACAAGTTGCTTATTTTTTAATTTCTTGGCTGACTAAATTTTATTATGAAGGCTTTTATTAAAAAAGCTCAGAAGTACTGTATTCTCTAAGTTGTTGAACATGTCATAGTGTCTTTTGCCTATTTTGATTGGTGGATAATTTAGCTGGCTATAAAATTTTTGGATTACACTCTATTTCCCTTAGAAATTATAGGCACCCATCCACTGACTTATTTCATTGTGCTTTCTTTTTTTTTTTGAGATGTAGTCTCACTCTGTCACCCAGGCTTGAGCACAGTGGCGTGATCTTGGCTCCCTGCAAGCTCTGCCTCCTGGGTTCACGCCATTCTCCTGCCTCAGCCTCCTGAGTAGCTGGGACTACAGGCACCCGCCACCATGCCTGGCTAAGTTTTTTTGTATTTTTAGTAGAGACGGGGTTTCACTGTGTTAGCCAGAATGGTCTCGATCTCCTGACCTCATGATCTGCTGGCCTTGGCCTCCTAGAGTGCTGGGAATACAGGCGTGAGTCACCGTGCCCAGTCTCATTGTACTTTCTACTAACCCCCTTACCCTGGCCTCTTCCATCTTGTCTTTTTCTCTCCCAGTAGTTTCTTCATGAAGAGGCCATGTGCTATATTCCATGAGATATTTCACATTCAAAGAAGACTTCTTGTATACTCTTTTGATGATTTGGGAATCACTGTCTTGATTTATAAGGGAGTTTGTAATAAATACTGTAAAAGAGAAACACATAATGTATTTTGAGACATTAGAGAAAGGAGGAACCACTTCTATTAATATTTGGGGTTAGCAGGGAGGGCTTAGTTAAGAGGTAACATTTGAACTAAGCCTTGAAAGAAGGGAAGTATTTGGACATGCAGTAATGGGGAGGGAGTAGAAGCAAGGCATGGTGGTTAATTTTATGTATCAATTAGACTGGGTTACGCGGTGTCCAGATACTTGGCTACACTTTATTCTGGGTGTGTCTCTAAGGGTATTCTGGATGAGGATAACATTTAATTGGTAGACTGAATAAAGCAGATTGTCCTCCCCAGTGTGGGTGAACCTCATCCAGTCATCCAAAAGGTAGAGTAACAGAGAATTTGCTCTCTTTACCTGGTTATATTTAAGCTGGGACATCAGTCTTCTCCTGACTTTAGATGTGGACTCGAGTTGGAACTATATCATGGCTGTCCTGGGTCTCCAGCTTGCTGACTGCAGACCCCAGGACTCCTTAACCCCCATAACCATGTGAGCCATCCCTTAACAACAAATCAATCTGTCTCTCTCTATGTATATAGCTCTATCTCTATCTCTGTGCTCTTTCTCTGGAGAACCTAGAGTAATACACAAGGTTATCTTAGAGAAGAGGATGACCCAAGGAAAAGCATGGAGGCAGAAAAGTGCAAAGAGGGTTTGGGAAAACTGGGGTCCTGATGGGGAGTTTGGATTTCACTCTGTGTAGCATGGAGAATCCTTGAAAATATTCAAAAGGTGAAATTGTATTCGTGGGAAAACACCAGGAGTATGTGAAAAGAAAAACACACATTCCATTTTAACTTCACTGAAGGGGGCATCAAAAGGATGCATTGGGGACATCGGTTGGAGGGTGGTTGAGGCCATATCTGGAGGATCTTTACTTCTAGGCTGAGTCGGAAGTTATCTTTCTGGGGAGTGGGAGATCATTAAAAATCTTTGCGCTCCACTCAAGAAATGGTTTTGCTAACAATGGCAGTGTGATGATGGTGGTGGTGGTGGTGGTGGTGGGGAACTGGTGGCATGAATTCTAAGTGGGTTTCTGCTGTTCTAGCCGAGAAAGGTGGGGAATGGACTTTAAGTAGAGTAATACAGATGTGGGAATCAACTGCATGGAGGAGGTAGTTACAGGTGATGAGATGGTTCAGGGACAAAGTTTGGTAGGAGGAGAAAAGATATTAGGTGGTGCAAAAATAATTGCTATTTTTGCCGTTAATTTTAACAGCAAAAACTGCAATTACTTTTGAACCAACTTAATAGGATGCAAACTTCAGAGTCATCTGCATCAGAGGGATTGATGAAGATCAACAAAGTTTGGGAACACAGGAAAGGAGCAGAGAGGGTAATGACTTGAGGGCATAGCAGGGATAATCAAGGTATTTTTTGTTAGCATGTGGAGACTTAAGCATGATTATATGTTAAACGCCTGGCACATACATGGTGCAAAATATTTATGAGTCGAATGATGAGTGAAGGTGGCGAGTCATAGGAGTTCCAAGGGAACAGGTGATAAAGGGAGGTTTCAAATGAGGCACAAGTGGAGAAGGTAGCTTGGGAAAAGGAGAAGGATGCTTCTCTTTATAAGATGGGAAAGGCAGAGGAAGAGGGTCAAGATAGAGTGATCTAGGGGTGAGGTGGAAGTGAATTGAGAGAACTCAACTCTGAGTGGGCTCTGAAACCCCTAGGGATGGGTTTGGGGGGCTTTCAGATACGGAAGAGGTTTAAAGTCAATTACTATAGCAAATATGGTTCGGAATTTATTTGTGATGCTTAAAAATATTGCTGAAGAGAAGTGAAGTCTACCCTAGAGTTGGATGGTGAGATTATTATTATTTTTTAAATCTTTTTTATTATTATACTTTAAGTTCTAGGGTACATGTGCACAATGTGCAGGTTTGTTACATATGTATACATGTGCCATGTTGGTGTGCTGCACCCATTAACTCGTCATTTACATTAGGTATATCTCCTAATGCTATCGCTCCCCTCTCCCCGCTCCCCACAATGGACCCCGGTGTGTGATGTTCCCCTTCCTGTGTCCAAGTAATCTCATTGTTCAATTCCCACCTATGAGTGAGAATATGCAGTGCTTGGTTTTCTGTTCTTGCGATAGTTTGCTAAGAATGATGGTTTCCAGCTACATCCATGTCCCTACAAAGGACATGAGCTCATCCTTTTTTATGGCTGCATAGTATTCCATAGTGTATATGTGCCACATAGAAACAAAAAATTTTGAAGCAATTTAAAAGAGAAAAAATGGTGGGAGAGTTGAAATATCACACAATAGTAATAGAGTCAAAGCTGTCAGTGTTCACAGATTCATGCTTAGGAATGATACGTTGCTTGAGTTTTCTTTTCGTTCATACCAATTTACAACATTTAGTATTAAACGAAATAAAACAATAATAAACACTTTTTTTGTTAAACCATTTTTTTTCCAAGACAGAGTCTTGTTCTTTCACCCAGGCTGCAGTGCAATGATGCAACCTTGGCTCACTGCGACCTCCACCTCCCGGGTTCAAGTGATTCTCCTGCCTCAGCCTCCCAAGTAGCTGGGACTATAGGCATGTACCACCATGCCGAGCTAATTTTTTGTATTTTGGTAGAGATGAGATTTCTCCAGGTTGGCCAGGCTGGCCTCCAATTTCCTGGCCTCAAGTGATCTGCCCACCTCAGCTCTCAAAGTGCTGGGATTACAGGCGTGAGCCACAGTGCCCGGCTGACACCAATTCTTTTCAATTTTTCACTATTGTATTTTGAGGTTCAACCCAAAATGATTATCAAATCAAAATAATTAATTAAGTTTACTATTAAATAGGAAAAATAATGACAACTATAATGACCTAAATGACAGTCTGTTATGCTTTAAATATAAAGAATCAAATCAAGTAAAATATGTCATTCCAATATGTCTTTCAGCTATTATATACGACATCAGTAAATTGATTACAGCAAAACTTCATCCACCCAGTTTATTTAAAATTATTAATTTAGATTGTATTGGTCTATATCTACTTGTGTTAATCTATGTCTACTTTTATTTGTATATGCTCAAGTGTAATCCTATGACAGCTACATCCTATGTGATTCAGCCTCAGAGCACCCCAGATTCAAAGAATCCCAATGCAAATACTCATTCCACTCTTTGCCCAAGGCTCTTGAAAAACTTAAAAGATATCCACAAAGAACTTTTCTACACTTATTTTTAAATTTCTTGGCTTCTCCTATTCACTAATATCTCAAAACTGGTGGAGTTCTCACTTTACTACCTCAGAAGACATTTCTTCCTTCTATTCATGAGTTCATCTCCAAAATCTTTCACTATCACCTGTTCTCCCATTTCCTCTGCACTTAGCCCTTTCTCCTAAAGTTCTTCAGCTAGTTTCATCCCTCACCACCACTATTCTAGACTCCTGAAGTGAATGTTGAACACGTAGTCTCTCCCACCCTGAGAACATTTTTCTCCATGATTCATTCTGATAAGGTTTGGGAGACAAGGTAGGTACATTGGAGAATCAGAATTGTTTTAAAAGGGCAGAGACCAAGTTGACACTTTATTGAGCAGGGGAAGAAAAAGGCTGAGACTTATGAATCCTATCACCTAGATAACATTATAATCTTAAAAAATAGTGTTAGAAAATGCCCAAGGGAATTTTCTTTTGAAGTAAGTCCATATGAGATGGTGAGATTATTTAGTGGAACTACCAGATCCATGTGGTGGTTCTTTCCACTATCATTCAGCAGCCCTTGGACAGTTGCAAGGCAAGTCATCAATGGGGTGTGGAGATTTTCCAGGTGGGTGTGGTTGAAGGCAGGGAAGAACAAGTTTAGGAGCACATTACAAGAAGAAGGTGACTGTGAGGTCCAGGCTGAGCAGGAAGGTAAAATAAGAAGGAAACATGAGGTTGTAAAGAGAAGTTTAGAGGGATGAGGAGGCAGGATAGGTGAACAGTTGCAGGATGTAGCTAGAGTGGCGATGTTAGATCTTGGGGCCAGAGAGCTTTACAGTGATGATGAAGATCAAAGAGAGGGCATTAGAATCAAGCTATAAAGAGCCACTGTTTGATGTCAGGATGTGAGGATGCTGCAGGTGGATGTCTGTGCATTGATGGTGAGAACGTGGTCACCCTGGCCCTGCTGGGTCTTTGCTAAGGAGACTGCTCTCTGTTCTTGGGGCCGTTTTCATCACCTGATTAGAGCACTGGTCCCTAAATGGTGTTCTTTGGACCATCTGTATAAAATGTTCATGAGTCAAGGATAAAATGGAAAACCAGAAAATGTCACAGAAATGTGCCCGTTGATGAAAGACCACCTACTTGTCCTTTTTGGAGGATTGTTCTTTATTCTGAAATTGTGTATATTCTATTCTGTTAAAAAATTTTTGTATTTGCATAATTTTTTCTCTTTTATGAAATGCCATGGAGTAGAAATTTGTAATGTATCCAGTTCTCCTGTCTTCATGCATTGCAGTGTGGTA